TTTTTAATTGTTTATATCTCGATTAATTTTGCAATAGGAAAAAAATCCTTTGGCACAAAATTCTATCTCCCAAAGTACTACCTTTGTGCAAAATTTAAAAAATTTCTGAGAGATGACTGATCCGCTTCACATGGAATAGCTCTAATAAATAGTTTTTATTTAATAATTTGCATTTATTTCAGACCGTTATAAATTTTTTCCGGAAATTGTATCAGATCAATTGGACGAGTATGTCGATCTAATCATTAATATAGTTAATATATTGTTAATATATTAATCTATATATTAATCTAATATATTGGCTATATATTATAGCCAATGCGTTTATGATTGCATTGAGCACTTCCAATCATTCCTTACATGATACACTATTAGACACTGCAAAAAATTTTATATGGTAAAATATTGAAAATAATTAAATATTGTAATATAAATTTAAATTTAAATATTGTATATAACCATCCAAATATTAATTTAATTTGCATAAATTGTAAATTACATTTTTATTAATCAACAACTAATTGATGTAACAATTTTGAGTGTTATTTCATTACGTCTAACAGAAAGAAGAATTCTGGATGTATTTTGTAATCATCAAGTGCCTAGCACTCACGTCAGAAGTCAGGATTTTGAGCAAATTAGAATAAAAGTGGCCAAAAGTGGCTTTTTTAAAGTAAAAATATTGCAATTGTTTCATCATAAATTTTCTTAATTTTATAACATAAAAGATGTTTTTATAATTTATTAAAGTTTATTTAAAATTAAGAATTATTATAGAGTTCTGCTATGCACCTACATATTAATTTCCTAAAAAAACTGTTTTTGATTTTGTTTATAGCTTATAATTATTTAGTAATTATTAGTATTCGCTACTTTATTTTTTAATTATACTTTAGTAATTATTAGTTTTCGCAATGCAAAAAGATTAATTTTTTTATAAATTGATCAGAAAGAAATTCAGATAAAAAGTAGTCTACATTAGTTTGGAATGCTATGTAATATATTACATAAAATAAATACAAGTAATTATATTCTTACTTGAATCATTTTTGTGTGTAGACCTTGTCCCATTTCAACGCCACCATGACTAATTAGAACTGAACCATCAGTATAGATGTGCACCAATGCACCTGCTTGATTCAAGAATAATGCAGTAAATGCTATACCAAATTTCGTAGGTACAACTGCGAGTCCTTTTTTCTTAAATCGGTTCTCTCTATAAAATCATTTGTCATTGATTTTACTAATTGTGATCAATCTAATTTATAATGTAGACAATAATTATTTACCTATTGTAACGTTGAACTTCGATCATTCTTTCATTATAACGTGAAGACGCTAGACATTCGCGCCAGCAACGATCTAGAGTACAATTGACAAGTTGTTGGTTGTAATGCGTCACATCGCCTTTCTTATATAAATTTAATTCGGACAACTGTGGTAAAAAATATTTTTAATTATTAAATTTTTTTATCTGTTCGTATAATGAATGTATAAATTAGATGTTACCGTACATAGAATTTTATATGGACCGAAATACAACCGAGTACAACCAGAAAAGTGATTTTATAGCTCAAAATAAATCAAAATGATAGAATATATTGTTTTTTCTTTGGAATATCAGTCAAGTTCATACATACTTGATTAACTTTCAGAACTTTCTTTTTTTCAAAAACGAGATCTTATTCGAAAAAATTTATCATTTCGACTTGTTGTGGACCGTAGAATTATCCTCCCGATTATGTATTTCGATCTATTCTATATAATTAATTTTTGTAAAAATAGAACATCTTATTTTCATTATATTTCGGTTGCACTGATGATAGTTCCAATATTAAAAATTACCTTGACGATATCTAGATTCAGATAATCGGCGATTTGCCGAATGATAGTTTCAGCTACAAACATTCCTTGTGGTCCACCAAAACCTCGGAAAGCTGTATTCGATGGTAAATTCGTTTTACACACATATCCGTACACTTCTGACACAGGAATTTTATATGAATTTTCAAAATGGAACATGGCGCGTTCTAATACCTGAATATATTCGAAATAACATCAATGTTTTTTCTTTGAATGCGTATATACATAATATTGATATATAAAATTTTTAATAAAATTTAATTTTCTCAATTTATATTTTGTTACTTACCGATACTGATAAATCAAGAGAATAACCTGCATTATTATATATGTGTACTTTTACGACTTTGATAAGACCATCATTATTGAATCCAACTTTATACTTGAATAAAAATGGATGTCGTGTTCCACTTATCATCATGTCTTCGTCTCTATCTAGCATGCAACGAACTGGTTTCTGCAATCTATATTTAAATTTTTTTTGATATATGAATTGATCATTTATTTATATTATTTTTCATGACAAAATAAACATATAATTATAAAGGCTTAACAGATTTAAAAATCCTTCTCCACGATTAAAGAATGGGCATCAATGTAGTTCCGGCTGGTATAAGAGGTTATGCTGAGAACGAAAAAAAATTAAGAAATTTAGATCTCCGTTACTTTTTCTTAGTTCAACATGGCGTCTAGAACTGTCAACATGTGTTAATATTTGCTTCGTATAAAAATTTGGCAGTTTGTTGGTACAAAATGATACCAGCCGGAACTACGAGTTACATGTATATCATATATATTGCTGCAAAATTACATTTTTTTCCAACTGTTTTACCATCTCTTTGGATAATCAAACGCGGATGGTAATTATAAAAATGCAGTTTTAAATAAAAGAAACTATTAGCAAAGATATATAATACACATGAATTATAATATACATATCTAAAAAACATTGATCTATTAATAAATCATAAAATTAATGTTATATTATTGACTAATTGCTTAAATTTTAGCAATTACTAAACTGCCACACTAACTCCCGTAAGTCTTTAAGAGTCTCGTCGGTGATGTTTACTACCATATATATCGATATCTCACGCACACATCGTAACAAATTTTCAAGAACATCTTTTTATTAGACATCCAAGCCTAATTTTATGAACTCAATTTATTGTTTGCACATGTAATTCGTAGTTCCGGCTGGTATCATTTTGTACCAACAAACTGCCAAATTTTTGTACGAAGCAAATATTGACACATGTGACAGCTCTAGACGCCACATGTTGTTGGACTAAGAAAAGGTAACGGAGATCTAATTAATTTCATAAATTTTTTTCTCAGTTATATCTCTTCTCAGTTATTCTCGTTCTCAGCATAACCTCTACCAGCCGGAATTACATTGATACCTATACTTTAATCGTAGAGAAGGATTTTTAAATTTGTTGCCTTTAATTATGTTTGTTTTATCATGAAAAATAATCACGTTCGGTCGATAAAACAGACGACTTTAGGATCGTCTTAAGAGGATGCTAAAGCCGTCTGTTTTATCGACAAAAATACCATTTTTGTTGGATACAAAATACTTCGTATTAATCGCATAGAATAAAATTTCCTTTTCCACGATTAAAACACACATGCTAATGCATCTGGCTCTGGTGTATTTCTGTCTCTTATACACATCTCTGAGCGGGCTGGCAAGGCA